ATACTTTAGGTGTCTGAACATTAAACTTGTTCAGTGTGCCCCTGCACGGTATGTACCACCTTTCATAGTGTGTAACTTGAAGGCCCTGAGTACTTTCTCCCACACTGGAAACACTGGGATGATCACATTATTTGAACATTACCTAATAAGACTGATTCAGCACAGACAGTTCTGTTAAACTTTCCTAGCAGTCCTTCACAAACAGGGAACAGTCTGTCTATTCTCTCCATCTGTCAGCTGCTGCTGGCTCTTCCTCCTCCTCTTCCTCACACACTGCTGAGTTTGTCCTGGTGGATCATCAGGGCTGCAAAGCCTCACAGATAGAACTGAAACCAGTTCCCTGTCAGTGCGCCCCAGGGTGGCTGTGGCTACAATGTAGCTTGCCATCACCAGTGTGTGAATGTGTGTGTGAATGGGTGGATGACTGGATATGTAAAGCGCTTTGGGGTCCTTAGGGACTAGTAAAGCGCTATATAAATACAGGCCATTTACCATTTACCATTTACAGATGATGTGCAGCAGTGGGTCCCTCAGTCTGTCCTCACTCTGGACACTTGCAGTCGTCACACATGGAAATCAAATGTGTGATAAGCTGCAGGATTCAAACACAAGTGTAACTTATAAACACATGTTCATACTTTTATTCCACAATCAGAGAGAAAGAAACAGAGAGAGAGTGCAGGACAGACAGACAGGTGACAGTCTCAGGTGTACACACTGCTACACAACAGCACCAGAGAAGCAGGATTTAGTGTTTGTGTTATTACGAGTGTAAACAAGAAGAGTTCCAGATGGTGCAGTGGACACATGTGTGACTGCTGTGATTAAAGCATCTTTCTTTCAGCTTAACGAGTGAACCGTCAGCTCGTTCAAACACACGTTAAAGTGCGTTTGGCTCGACACCACCGAACAGAGGCAGCAATATAACACAGCTAACATTAACAGTGCAGTGAATCCTGCTTGTGCCGTGATATTCAGGACTGCAAACCGAGCAGCATCACTGACTTTCAGCTTGTTGTGTTTGTGGATATATGACTGACTTTAATTATCCACAAAATCATCACATTCTCTGTAAGATTAAGGTCGACTATATATATATTTAGAAGTAGAGGCTTTAAAACCAAGTTAACGCTGAAAGTACAAACATCACTAATGTGACATTAGTGATGTCACACAACTTTGCCGACATGTGGGAACAGTAATGTTTTAATGTTCTTCGTTATTAAACATTCGCACATAAATAAGTGACATGATGTTCAGTACTTTTGACAGTTCACTCTTCGGCCGCTCCCTTCTGCCGTATTTTGCAGCAAAATTATCCACACCCACTGCCGCGCTATGAATTGTGGGATATATGGGACCACGAAGCGTGCACCGGACCACGCTTGATATTTGGGGAAATCGACGGCGCATTTGGAGTATGCATTTGAAGCACACTTCGAATTGGGACAGCCGTCGTCGCGTGGCGGTGACGTAATCGCACTTGAAATGCGTACTTCAAGACCCTGAATTGGGACACAGCCTGTGAGAACAAAATGCCTGCTTAGCAGGAACAACCATGTGCTTATCAGGAACAGGGGTGTTTTAGGTTTACTTATGTTATTCTGTGCTTAGTTAATATTAGTGTGTTTTTGTTTTCCCCCTATTGTGGGTAAATGGGTTGGCCAAACCACTATAAAAGCTACCCTCTTATATATTTGTAATTAGGCCAGTTTGTGGGTTAAGTTGTTTCCACTTTGTTTGTCTAAGTTTCTGGAAATGACTTTTTGTAGAGTTATATTTAGTTGACCTCTTTTCTGGGCCTGCTAATTATGTTTTTTGAATTTTGTCTTTTGAACCTTTTTGAGGGTAAAATAAAGAAAACCCTTTTTGAAGACATTTTTTTCCTGTGTCCTCTATGCCTTGGCTGCGTGGTCCCTCACACTGACTGAAACACACTCTTGCCCATAATGAATGAAATGTTTCTATTTACCTGCATGGCTGCTGTAGCTATGGTACATGGAGCACAGGTTTGGTACTGCTGCCTGGAGAAAGAATAAATTGCCTTTTCAGCAGTCATTAGTATCTGACTAGACACTTGTGAAACAGAAACTGGATGAGTATGTATCTGGAATAGAGAAGTCTGAAATTCTCTGCCAACACAGAGGAGATTCTCAGGAGGTGCCACCAACGGCTACACCTCCTTAGGAAACTAAACTCCTTTGGAGTCAGCACAGCCATCATGATGACTTTCTACTATGCCTTCCTGGAAAGCATCATGACCTTCTCCATCACCTGCTGTACAGGAACAGACTGCAGCACACGGCATCACTGTGCTCTAAAATCATCTGTCACGGTTCTGGGTCGGTTCGACCCAGCATTTTGAGTTCATTATGTTTTGGTTTATTCTTGAATGATTGTTTTGTTACCTTTGTGAATTGTTGGTTAATTATTTGAATTCTATGTTTCTGTTTATTCATGTTAAAGGATTTGTTCTTCGGTTGTGTCTCACGTTTAGTTTAGTTCAGGTTCCATGTGTTATATTCTGTCTGTCTCTCAGTGTCGAGTCTGCGTCTTTGTGTAGTGTTTTCTTGTTTCCTGTTTTATTGTGAAGGTCTGCGTCTCATGTGTGTTCAGTTTTACCTCCCATGTCTCGTCTCGTTAATTACTCCACCTGTGTGTAATCTCCCTTTGTTTCTCTGTGTGTATTTAAGTCGCATCTTCTGTCATTGTGGTTGCTGGTCTGTCTGTGTATCCATCATGTCTTACGCATGTGGTTTTTTCCATGCTGTCAACCATCGTCTGCCTCTGCTCGCTCTCGTTCAGGTTCGTGTTCAGTAGTCAGTTTGTTCCCAGTATAGTTTAGTCCTTCCTCCATTTGCCACTTGTCCATTTTTATTTTGTGTTTAATAAACCACCCTCACACCTTTACAAGTGCCTGCGTTTGGATCCTCCTTTATTACTTCCACGCGGCTCATCTCATCGGCCTGCCTGTCAGAACTCTGGCAGGTTTTCAGCCAACAGGCCCAAAGACAGGCAGCCAAAATCCTCAACGACCCCTCTCACATTCTTCACCCTGCATTTCAATGGCTCCCCTCTGGGCGACGCCTCTGCTGCATTTCCTGCAGGACTGAGAGGAGGAGGAGCGCCACCTTTGTCCCCAAAGCCACTCTGCTTTTTAACTCCAGCCGATAAGAACATTTCCCACAACAGAAACATAAACTACAGTCTTCTTATTCTACTGACACTTTATTCATTTTTAGTCACTTACAATTATTTATTCACCTTTAGTCACTTTCATTTTAAAACTGTATATTCTGTGTATTTATTATTTCACTCCTATGTCCTTATCTTCAACGTATGCTGCGCAGTTGTTTGTTAATTGCCCCTTGGGGATAAATAAAGTCTTCTGATTCTGATTCTGATGAACTTGAGATCAAGTCTCATCCTTCTTATAACGTCCTTAATGACAAACCAGAGCATCAGTGTCACAGTACCTGCTGAAATCTATCAGAATTCATATGCTCCCCATAATTTATGTAAAATATTTGTGAAAACTTTTTCTCAGTCTAGAATGCATGCATTAGCCATGGCATAAGCACGTCTGACTTTAATATAGTTTTCTTCCATCACATTTTGTATCCTAGTCTGAAAAGCAGGCCCCAGAAAGTCTGCTTCTGTTCATCGGCACAAAGCTTCAACTAAATGAAAGATGAGGGCTGCTTCCTCTCAAATGGACTGTCACTAAAACAACCTGACCTCTGACCGTGTGGTAACCAAGCAGCAAGAAACCAAAAATATTTGTATTTGTAATGTACTCTGCTCTAATTATTAATTAAAACATGCTCTCCACATGAAAAACAACAACAGAGAAGGTGAGGAGTGAGTGAAACTACACAAAGTTACAGTGGATAAAAAAGCCTCATCGGTCGATCTTTCATTTATAATTATATCCCAATAACATCAGCAATGCAAGAACACAAGAACACTCATGCTCTGACTTAACATGAACCTAAAAACCAGCAGCTCTTTATATAACTTATAATTATAAACTATTCTCAATTACATTAGTTAAAAAGTGACTTAATCCTTGCTTACCTTTGAGGACTCATCTCAAATTTGTCCACCTGGTAAATCATTCTTGCTGCGTGAGCAGGAGCTTGTCTGTGGTTTAATGCAACGTATTTTTTCTCAGTGTGAGAAACTAGTTCCATCTAGCTCTCTCTCTCGCTCTCTCTGATCTTTCTGGGGTTTATTTTAAGGTTTGTAAAAAAAAAAGTGCCTATAGCGGTGCCCCTTGGCCTCTTTTGGCACTGTTATTTGGGGCTGATCCTCAAATCTGATGTCTCCTTTTAATCAACATTTTCACTCCCCAAAACAGCAGCTGCAGAAACAGAATTTAAATAATAGGCTTTTTCATTAACTTTCAGTAAAAAGCTCCACATCACATTCTCAGATATGCATTCACAAACTAACCAGACGTATATTTCTTCTTTCTGGTTGTAACTCATTAAAGATATTGTAAATCATATGCAGTGTGTGTCTTTATTTACTAATTGTTTGTCATTGGACAGGAAGACCTGTGGTTTGCTGGAGCAGCAACGAGAAGCAGAAATGTAGCACATAATGTTTAATAACTAAGAACAGGAAACATAAGGGGACCATCCAAACCCAATGAACTCAGTTTATTGGGTTAACTTTATTCGTTTGATAAATTTCATCATGTTTTTGATAGAATGCTTCACTGTAATTAAAAATAAATGCATTTTAATTCTGACACATTATAGTGTGTAAGTGTGTTTTTTTTTTTTCTTAAAGCAGAGCAGGTCGTTTAGTTCTACAGCCTTTCATAGAGAAGTGTCCCCCTGCTGGCCGCTGGCTGAACTGCAGCCACTTACTGTACAATAACACGAAGGCGCTGCTGGTCGTCTCTGGGTCGACAGAGGGCGCTATCGCAGGTGAATCCAGAGATATCGCAACCTTTGAGGAAGCAGAAGAAGAAGAAGATCCACTGCTAACAGCAAACAGGTGACCTGTCTTCTCTCTGTGCGAGGCCGTGGGTCATGCAGTGTTATAACGTGTTCTGGTGAATAAACAGGTCTGGTTTTCGTTCAGTTTTGGGGTCTAAATGTTTTAAATCAGTCTCCATTAACTCGATGTTAGTTGTAAAATAGCAGCTAGCAGTCATTCTGGCTGGTAGCCTCTCCTCCTCCGCACACTGATCTCAGCTGTTGGCTGACAGAAGACTTCGAGCTGCTCTAAACTATTAAATAACGGCTAATTTGCATTTTGTGCTCACTTGTGAGGACCTCCCGTTCTGGTTAACACCTCCAACACTGTTATAAGGATTCAGAAGCTGCAGTGGAAGTGCTAAGACCAGTGCATGCTGTCTTTGTTTAATTATGAATATATGCAGAGTTAGGAAGTTTTACAGCACTCTTTGTATTTATGCATGTATATTGTATAAAGTATGTTAGAGTTATATGAATGGCCTCGTTTAGGGTGGTATCATCCAACATCCGTCAGTTTCACTGTATCATTTCTGCATATGTGGCCTTTATATTATTTCTCTGCCAGATTTAAATAGACAATCTTAATAAAATAAACTCATACAACCAATGCAATAAACGCAACATCAAGCCCTTCTTTCAGGTGAAGCTGTGATGTTATTTCCTGTTACAGCTGTTTTCAGACACAGTAAAGATCTTGTTCACAAACATTAGTGAAGTGCGGCTTTGAAACAAACTCCATGTAGACTCTCGACGTTTGTGGCAGGCTTGTGTTTGGGTAAAAACGCATCTATAACTGAGTAACTCATTGCCTCACCAGAAGTCTGAAATATGAAGCAGGATTGTGGCTCATCCAGGTAACGTCAGCGTTTAGCTCGGTTGTCAGTGTTACAAAGGTGGTTCATTTGTTTCTCACGTGCATCACCATAACCTGTAGATCTGCTCCAGACAAGGAGGTGATCCAGGTGAACAAGCACCAAATCACTGAAACATAGCGTCAGCCATGTAACCCAAATCCAAATATATGCAGAAATAAATGAGTTTTTTAATTGAATTGAACTAATTGAATTATATCATTATTAATTAAATAGTTCTTACTGATTTGAATCGATTGGCATTTTTAGGTAATTATTTAAAACTCACTTTTTCAACAACACTTTCAGCTTCTAGAGTTCTTTTGTAAAGTGTCTCTGAGTTTCTTGAAAGGTGCTTTACAAATCTAAATTATTATGACTTATTATTCTTAACAGCAGTAGCCCTCATTATTCTTCACTCTGAACCCTGGTGACAGTACACAGCCACAACATGCTCAACGTGTAACTGAACCTTCTGTGTCAGCAGGAGTGTGCTGGAGATGAGTTTCACTCTCCGCCTCCTGGTTTCCTGCGGCGACTGCTATCATGGACGCCTTCTGCTCATCTGGTCTCAGTCGGTCCGATCGCTGAGCTCTGGTCCTCGAATCAGCCGCAGCCTGCGGGAGAGCTACCGGCTTCTGCAACTGCCTGACGAGGGCAGCAGCAGTCCTGTGCAGGTGAAAGAGGCCTACCTGCGTCTCGCCAAGCTCTATCACCTTGACTCAGGGGTGCCAACTGCAGACGCGGTGCTGTTTGCTCGGGTCGAGGAGGCGTACCGTGCCGTGCTGGCGCATCAGAGCAAAGTCAAGCAGCTGAGCGGAGAGAAGGAAGCTGAAGCTGAAGATGAGGATAAGTCCAGAGGTGCAGCACTCCAGCACAGACACTACCTCAGCTACGAGGGCGTGGGCACAGGCACGCCCAGCCAGCGTGAGCGTCAGTACCGTCAGATTCGTGTCGACCGGGCATCCGAGCAGGTTTTAAACTACCGACAGCAGGAGCACGAGAGGGCGGCGGCGGGCGAGGGGGCGCTGGTGGAACGAGACATGCGCCAGCGTAGCCACAAAATCAAGATCACCCAGGCAGTGGAGCGGCTCGTGGAGGATCTGATTCAGGAGTCGATGGCCCGCGGAGACTTCAGGAACCTGAGCGGCGCCGGAAAACCCCTCAACAAGTTTGAGCACAATCCCTACGCCGACCCCATGACCCACAACCTGAACCGCATCCTCGTAGACAACGGTTACCAGCCCCCTTGGGTTGTCACGCAGCGCGACATCAGAGAGGCCACCGCTCAGATCCGAAACAGGCTGCTGGACGGGCAGGCCCGGCTCAGTGACCCCGTGACTCCCAGAGAAAGCCGGGAGTGGGAGGAGCTGTGTGCGTCAGTGGAGGAGGAGCTAGTCAAACTGAACAAGCTGGTAGACAATTATAACCTGATCGTGCCGATGCTCAGCATGCAGATGGTTCACTTCAGTTTGTCCCGAGAGATCGAGTGTGCCGTGAAAGGAGCTCGCCAACGCCGACTGCAGCAGCAAACGGAGAGAGAGAGGGAGCGCGAGAGGAGGAAGGAGGAGAAGAAACGAGCCAACGCCGCAGCGATGACGAAGAACAGAAAACACGGACTCGTGTCGTGGATGCAGAATTTGCTCCGATAAAAAAACAACAACAATTATGTTATTTAATTTAACCAGCACCAAAGGTCTGCCCGAAGGCACTGAAGCTACATCTGAGTTATTCAATTCTTACAGTAATTTCAGTGGTCACCAGGACATAAACACTGCATGTGTCAAATCAGCTGACTCTGCCCCAAAAAAGCATTTAAAATCTTTAATTTTCCCTGGAAGTTATGTTTCTAACATCAGCTTTGCTGTTGGATGGTTTCCCATAGATTTCTGTTCAGAGGCCTGAAGTACAAAGCATCTTCAGGTAGAACGTCACATCAGGTCGTGGTTATACTGGTTATACTGGGAAAAACAGAACATAAAAACCCTCATTCACTGACCAATCAGATACTTTGGTTTGAAGGATTTTAAACTGTTTCTGAATTAAAAAGTTCACCATGAGTACTTTAACTCATTCACTACAATTGACGGCTATAGACGTCAATGGCAGTGAATGAGTTAAGTGCCCAGCTTCCTCCAGCTCAATAACAAAAAGATTAAACGGTCCGTTCTCGACTTGATGCTTTTCCCTCCTCATGGTAAGGAGGTGAAAGCATCTTCCAGTCCAAAGGTGGTGGACACCTGGTATAGCTAATAGCTAAAAGATAGGTGGTATGTAAGGTGATGTAGGGAAACTTGTGGTTTCAAACTTTAATAAAGGCTCATCACTGTGGATTGTGGTCCTTGGTTTCTGTAGATGTCCAGAAGTCGGGGTATCCGTAACAAAGTGTAAGTGGTTGGATTGTGTACCACAATAGGGCTGCCACAAACGATTATTTTGATAGTCGACTAGTCACCAATTATTTTTGCGATTAGTCGACTAATCAGCTCATCATCCATTGGACGTAAAACATACAGCTTATTGCACCAGCAGCATCTGCTCTTATATAACTATCATTAGCTTACAGCTTTAAGTGTTTAAGGTCTGTGCTAACTAAAAATAAAGACAAGATGATAGTTTATTCAATTTTAATGAAATTTGCAGATTGTTTCGGTGAAGTTTAATAAACTCCTTGCTATCTAAAATATAACGGGACACCGGAGTAAACTCTCGAGCATCTCACACTTCTGATGATCAGCTGTCTGCTTGACGTTTATTCAGCTGTGTAAAAACTATAACTTTAATCTCAGCCAAACAGATTTACTCAGGAACAAATAAAATACTAAAAAAAGCCAAACAATAACATTGTTAAGTTATCTAAGTGACTCATATATCATGTTTAACCTGAGTAGCGAAAGACGGCGGTGGGTTTGAAAACGATTAGCCGGGAGTCCGGTGTTCTCACGGCGCTAGTTAGCCTAGCCCCCCGGCTAGCTATCGAGCTAGTGGGTAACAGACGTCTCTGAAAACGTCGGAGCGCTTTTGAAAATATGTGGTGTCCTGATAAACTGAGCAGATATTTGAGGTTTACACAGCTACATTCTCCATGAAAATATGTTAAACTTTATTTTGTGACCCAGAAAGAATAATAAGAATAATATTAAAACTAACTAGCTGCCGCCATTGTTGGAAACTAAGCTGGGCTGCGCTATGAATTCTGGGACACAGCTGCTTCTTCTTCGTCGGAGTTTAACGGCAGCTGGCATCCTTGTACATGCAGTGCTGCCATCTTCTGTTTCAGTCCGTTATTACACTCTTAAATCCTGCTACTTATTCCTGCGTCTTTTGTGATCTTACAAAGCTTCAAACGACGCGTCGACTATTAAATCAGTCGTCGACGATTTTAATAGTCGACGTAATCGTGACTAGTCGACTAATCGTGGCAGCCCTACACCGCCACCATGTCCTTGTTTGTTGCATTAAACTACAGAGCTGATAGATTGATCCAGACTTTCATTTGTTTGTTTAGTGCTCAGCCAATCAGAGCCCAGCTCAGAGCTGCAGGTGTTTCCTGTCAGATAAAAGTTTAAAAGAAATCAGAATCAGAGTGCAAAGTGTGAGTAACTGTTGGAGTTATTTCTGTGAAATCACTGAAATGCAAACCCGACACTGTAACTTTTGGTTAATGTGATTAAATTAAATGTGGAGAGTGTTGCAATTTAAATTATTTGAGTCATTGATTGTCTTCGTTTAGTCCGTCAGCTGCTCCTGCGTCGCAGGATTGCAGATGATGACGGGCTCCTTGCTGCCCGCTCCATCACCCGTGGCCACCCTGCGCAGAGCCTGAGCGACGGCCCTGGACGGCGCCGTGGCCGCGTTCCAGTCGTGGGCGATGTACTGGTGGTACGGGTCGTGAGAGCTCTCCAGCTTCTTTGAGCGGATGTAGCTGAGCATGATACCGAACGTGAAGAAGCTGAACATGCCCACCAGCAGCAGGATGTACATGATTCCCTGAGACTCAGTGTGGGCCCTGCCTGCAGCCACGTGCTGCACAGCCTGCTGGGTAGTGAAGTTCTCAGCAGGCCCTGCAGGAGACAGAAAGCTCGTGCTGTTGAGGCAGTGCTGCAGGACGGAGAGAAGGAGAGACTGCAGCTCGGTACTGTTGATGTGGGACATGGCTGACCTCTGCTGGGCACTCAGCAAACTGCAACTAGGAAAAAAGATAAATTTATAGAGAAATGCAGTTATTTAGAAATGCGATATATGTCTCTGGTACACGACAAATGAATAATAATTTTTCATTTGTGGAGTGATTTTAAAAACTCATGTTTAAAAATTCTGAGTGAGTCGTTCAGAGGAGTCGTGATTCCCACAGCGAGGGCTGCAGTGCTCCGCACGCTGTGCAGATTTTTCAGTTTTCAAGTCTTTACAACCAATCAATATATTTCTAAAAAGCTTTTAATTTTGTAAAATTTTCACTTGATTTTTCAGATTTTGAACAGTAGATTTATTCAAGTAAAAGTACATTTTAATATACTTTTACTTTATATAAGTATTTCCATGTTTTGCAGAGACTGTATATTACTTGCACTCCATCCATCTATTTTCTGTTGCTTCTCTGGTCGGGGTCATGCAGAGACGCTCAGGCCTTCCGCTCCCCGCCACCTTCTCCAGCTCTTCCAGAGGGACACCGCAGAGACACAGCCTCTGCAGAACGTCTCTGTGGGTTGTCGTCCCAGTGGGGCCTCGCATACGAGGAGCCATTCAGCTTTACTTGCTTATTATTTGGCAGATTTTAAAACATAAATCTATTATTATATGATGATGTATTATTAGGGGAAACGGTGTCAGGTATTATATAAGTGACTGAACTGATATATACAGTAATCACTAATATCATGTTTAGGATCCTCCATGAGTACTTTCATAACTTTTGTTCTATTCTTCAACTACGATTATGACTATTACTTAAATAAAGTGATTAAATATTTCTGTCATCACATTTACAAACAGCTGTTCACCTAAAAACAAACTTCAGCTCTTCCATGAAAGTAAAACTTGTCCCAATGTTTTCTGCACGACTCTCCAATCTTTCAGCCCCTCAGCTTAGTTCTTGTTCCCTTGTGCAGCAGCCCAATGAAAACACTCATTTCAATGTGACTTTATGCAGTATGAAGAAATGTGTTGTGAAAAGATTTAAATACTTAATGGCTCATTTACATATTTAATCATCAGAAGAAAATTTGTGATAAAAAAAACTGATCATCTTAACTGAGAGGTCTAGTTCCAGTTTTCAGCCCGTTCACCTGAGATTTAAAATAAACTACAAGGGAGGCAAGTGGGAGGTGTAATCAGGTGTAATCTGAGAGGCAGCTCACATTTTTCAAATCAATATCAGGTTCTCACATTCTCGGGGATGATGATCGAGTTTGTCTTATCGTTACTGATGTTTAGAGATTTCATTGTGCACACATATCCTGACTGAATCTTCATGCATTAGAGAGAAAAACTTACCTGAGAAGGACTCACATCAACCCGTGCGTCTCCAGCGAGGAAAGAAGCAGCTAGTCGCTGAACCCTGAGTATTAATGCTCAGTCCTCACCCATAAACATGCTCAACATGTCAACACGTTTAATGAAACCAGGAGGTCACAGGGCAAGGTCAAAGGCAGCAGGGGTGTCCTAATTTCACTCCCCTGTGCTGGTCCAAGCAGCAGCTTTGCAGGAAGATTATTATCTTTACATCAGGCCTTGTTTAGGCAGCGTTACCCAGTACAATGTCACTGCTTTCATTATGTATCATGAGTCTGACTGCATGTCAGATATGAACATTTCAGTGCTGCTCATACGATCGCCATCCATGCTCCTCTGAGCATCCAGACAGCAGCTTGTCAGATGTGTATGTGCTCGGCCGGGTGTGTTACAGAGGGAGCGTGTGTCGCTGCAGGGACGGCGCCGGGCTGCGAGCAGGAAGAACAAAGCTGCTTTCAGACCAGAGGCAGTTTGGATCGTCTGCAGCACAGCTCAGACTAGATTGAGTTACAGCACAGTCACCTCCAAATGTCCTCTCACCACTGTGTGTGTGTGTGGACAGGGTTTAACGTCTTCATGGGGACCAAAGATGGATAGTTTACTATACTGTGGGGACAAACAGCCATCGCGGGACCAAAACGCCAGTCCCCTCGAGTTTGAAGGCATTTTTAGACTCAAAATGTGGTTTTAGTGTCAGGATTACAATTAGGTTATGGTCAGGTTTAGGGTCAGGGTTAGGCATTCATTTTTGATGGTTAGGGTAAGCAGCTAGGGAAAGCATTATCAATGAGACGATACAAGGATATAATACACACATGTGTGTGTGTGTTTAAAACAGTGTAGCAAAAACAGTGGACAAATATTAACAAAAATATGATTGTACAACCTTTGTCTAATTAGACGTCACTGTGTGTGCTTTTAAACCAGAGTTAACATCGTCGTCGTTTTGCTTTTGCTGGTCTCTGCTCTCTTCCTCCAGCCTCCACCTCTCACTGTTCTTCACGCTGCACAGTGTTAGCTGACTAGCTAGCATTACCCAGAATGCTGTTCTGCAGTGTAATTTTGTAAATATCCTCTTAAATTCATTATTTGCTTCCAATCATCAGAACTGTGAATAGGCTGAATAAAGTTCCCACAAGGCTCTTGGTGGGAAAATTAACATAATTAGTGATAATAGAAAAATTAATATTATGTACAAAACTATACCCATAAATGGTTGAAATAAGGAAAAATGCTCTCGTCTCATTTTGTTCTAATGTTTCATACATTCTGACTTGAATTGCAGATGAATGGAGGTAAGTGTGTTCTCTCCTATCCCTACTGTGAGCCGTTACAGGATGTTCAGCTCTGAGTCAGCGGGCCTCACTTTGAGAACCTGCACTTTAAAACAACTAATGGGCCAATAACCAACAGTCTCCTTTCCAATGCTTCCTGTTTATCCTCCAAGACTGTGAAATTATGACTGAATCAGTTACAAGACTGATTCACCTTAGCTTGTGCCAGCTTAGCATGTGACACAAGACTCGGGCCTACACCACACTGGCAGCGACGTGGTGACCAGAAAACATCAAATACATTCGGCTAGCTGATCGTCAGCTCCTCTAGCCTTCACTCATCCTTAGGCAAGACACTGAACCTTGAGTTTATCCAAATCATTCATCAGAGTGTGTGTGAAAGTAGAATGAGACTTGTTTTCAGTTAAATTTATTTATACAGCGCCAATCACAACAACAGTCGCCCCAAGGCACTTTATACTGTACGATAAAGACCAATAATCCAGGGAAAAGCCCAACAATCAATGACCCCCTATGAGCAGCACTTTGGTGACAGTGGGAAGAAAAAACTCTTTTAACAGGAAGAAACCTCCAGCAGAACCAGGCTCAGGGAGGGGCGGGGCCATCTGAGCAAGGGGAGGACTACAGAACAAAGACACGCTTTAAGGAGGGGCGAGTGACCAATGAGAGCACCAGACACTACTTGACATGTGACCTGACAGTAGATATATTAGAGGGTTACCTAGGCAACCTGGGATATGTGTACAGCCATCATCTTCAAAGTGATGAGTGAAAGGCTTCCAGTGTGAATGCAGTTTTATTTTAATCTTGACTTCGTCCATCTTGATGCTTAAAAACAGATGAGGGACGCTTTGAGCTCAGTCACGGAGCATCACATCAGCGATCAGCTTTATTCTGAATTAAACCAGAATTGAACTAAATGTTTCTACTGTCACGAACTCTCACAGCTGTTTGCCCAGTGCTAAAGAAAAGGAGCTGTTGTCGAATAAAATTGCTTCATCTATAGAGCCGAGAGTGTCCGTCCACCGTCGATCACCACAGTCCCCGCATTAAGCCAGCAGTAGAGTTGGATTGAGGTTTTCAAGCCTTTTATCTCTAAGGATTTCTTTCATGACTGGGAGGAGGGGGACAAGGTTCCCTCACAATTTAAGGATACTTGTATCTGTGGCACTTGTTGTGTATTATGCCTTTTTCCAACCAGTCATACTATGATGCAGATTTGTTGGTGTGGGAATTACGATGCACAGTCCTGCTTCACACCAGTAACCCTACTTTCCCCTTAGTATCAGGCACAGAGCAGGTGGGGTGAAAGATCAGCTACCAGTCGCGGGGTGTTGATCTATTCTTGGAAATGAATTCGCTGGGGGAAAGATGTTTCCTGCCACCCCTGAAGCTGCTGAAACCCTGCTGCAGATGTTTTCGGTCATGCACCATCTGGGCGTGTCTCTGCAGTTAGCATGTGTGGTTGCTTATGCACAGACCTTGGTGATGCAGTGGACATTTCCCATACATTCTTTAAAAGCCTAAACTCTGTCAAGCCTTTGCCTGGGAATAAGAATGAATCTGTGGCGTTTACTGGGATACCAAACAATTGTGTCTAGCAGTAGACAAAGAGCAATTCAGTAGAGCTCAGCAGTCTGATTCTACCTGTCTGCCTGCCTCTGTGCTGCAAGGCGGCGAGCATTGGAATCCAACCCGTGTTATACTGATGATGCTGTATTGCTTGTTAGGCCTTGACCACGATCATTTAGGAATTAGGAGATCTTATGATAGAGTTCCTGCTATTATTTGGCCAGGATTGAAAACTGAGGTGTCAGATTCTGTCCATCATTTTATCCACGTCAAATGGGTCAAGCATTTCTGAGGGGAGAAATGTTAGATGGGGGAGTGTATGATCCAGGTCATGATTTTGTGTTGTTGTGCTCACCGCACCTGAGGGTGGCGTTGTTTGTTCTGTGCTTGTGTAAGTTTGCAGGTGGAGCCTGACCATTGGTAGAAGACTGAATGAGGCCGGCTATAAATTTGGACCTGTCCGGACTGGCGGCTCCGCCTACTTCCTGTTTCCAACAAGCTGTGTGTTTAGCCCCGTGTGTGGTGTGATTGAGTTTTCTTAGATAAGAAGAGCTAGGCTGCAGATATTGTAGATAGTGTAAAAGATCTCTATTGTTGACCTGGTAGCTGTAGGGGCGGAAGCCCGTTTTCTTTGAGAAATGTTTCTCCTGTTAGGGAGACCGGTGGGAGGCCTGTATTTTCTTTGGTTTCTCATTAAGTCAGTTCTGTTTAATGCCCACCCTGACCGCCGCTACCTTTTGAGTTTAATAAAACCGCTAGTCATTGTAAAACCGAGGCCGTGTTGTCCTAACTGGAGCAGGGAGTGTGGGCTTTTCTTTTTTTTGGCTTTTCTTGTGTATTGCTCCAGCTCCTGCTAGCCGGGGTGTACGAATGCACACAGGAGAACAGACCACATTTATCTGGAATTATTGATGGAGAAGGAATTCTTGAGTCACTGCTAACTTGTAAGTCTCTAATAAGTATAGTAGGTAACTTGAGTACAGCTCACCTGTGGCAAATAAGCAGTAATTTAATCGAACACTTTCATTGTTCGGAGATTGCTGACCGCAAACTCTTCATTGAAGGCTTAGTGTTTTTAAAGTAATGCAGGATGAGGGATTAATAGATGCTTTGTAAATATGACTTATGAGATAATAAACATTAGTAATTTAAAGGTGTTACTCACACCTTTAAGGCCTTTAAGCCTTAAATCAAAGTGGAGGTTTTCCTTTCCCCCCTGTCATTTATGCGATGTTACAGTGGAAGATGTTTGCATTACAAATTACAGCACAGGCATCAGACTGCCCACACTCAGCTTTAACTACTCTTGGGTTTGTATGACACAAGAGAGAGGGGATATCCCTAATAAGGTCATCTCAGGTACAAAGGCTCCACCCACATTTTCAAATCTGTTGCATATGAGGGGCAGCCAATCAGAAGAAAAATGCCTTAAAAGGGAAATAAACAGCTTGTTTAACATAGAGGACAATCTGAGAGGCTTCCTCGAGGTCCAGCATGAGATAAATAAGGATTATTTTGAATTGTAATCATGCAAAGCCACACGAAGGTGTAAATGAGCAGGTCCATCTCAAAGAAAAAAATGCTCTGATCTTCTGCCTGAGCTCCAATCCAATCTGATGGATATAAAAAATGAAACATACAATCACAAAAATCAAAGTGAAAGACATTCTTCCGTGTACAGAGAATTTATACAGCAACTCACCGCTGATGTTAGTCTAGCTGCACCCCGTCACAGTTATCTTTAGATTCTCCCTGTCTACAAGTGCACAAAGGAGACAAAACAATCTTTTTAGATATAAAACCAACACAACCAAAATGACCTGTTTCCTGTGAACAGATCACCTGGACAACAGACATGACTTACCCAGCCTGAGCCTTTTTAGCTTGACGTGCTTCGTGCTCATCCCAGATTTTCTTGTAACAGTAGATCAGAACCGCAATGAGCCACAGCTGCAGGAACGTGACCAGCACGTACATCATTATCTCCGAGATCACATCAGCCAGCTCTCGATTGGCTGGGAAACAGGAACTGACAATGAAGCTTCAGAGAGAAGACTAACAGGGGCATATTTCTCCCATATTAGCTTCTCTTCTATCCGCCCAGCATGCATAGAGAAGAAGATCTTTTGTAACACTGCTTGGAACAACAATATTTTGTATAACTGAAGGATTTAAATCCATCCTCCTTACCTACAGTCACCACACTAAGCTCCACCTCCTTCTCCACAGTGACAAGCTCAGGAGACAGCGGCAGGAAGAGGGTACGGTGGAAGGTGCAGCGATACGTCCCAGTGTCATTGAAGGTGACGTTATTAACATACACGGTTCCCATCTGAATGTCATCATTTAGCGTCCCGCGCCATACCAGGCGGTGGCTGAAGTCTTCATGGAGGATGTCAGCTACAGGATGGTCATAGTGGAAAATCTGAGATAGGGAAAGAATTAAAAAACTGGGAATTTAGTTATACTTGTTCCCTCACTTATATCTGAATAGAACATAAAGAAATAGACACACATAAGCTGATCGGTGACAAGGTAGGCCTGCTCTATAACATCCCCTGCTTTATTGTCCTTTTGAGCTCTAATAGGAAACATATTGTACCAAATAAATATCACCATGTATTCAGTAGGACTTTAAACAAATGACTGAGACCAAAAACTCATCAGAGATGTGTCAGGGGTACACGTCATAATAAAAAAGTTTGAAGGGATACATGTGAGCTTACATGTATGGACCCTCACACGCTCCACCAATCAGTGATCAGTCATCTAAGGCAGCGGTTCCCGACCCCAGCCAATGGACTGGTACTGGTAGTACCGGGCCGTGAGAGTCGAGGCTCAGGTGTGAAATTTATGTTTTTCATGGTTTTTTATCGTTTTTATCATTAACTCGGTTTCTCTGGGTCTTTTCCTGTGTGTTATGAATAAATCTTCTTGTTTTGGCACCGCTAATCGTTTTATTTGTGGTGTTCATCTGCGACACCTTAAAGGCCGGTCCGTGGTGCAAAAAAAGTTGGGGACCGCTGATCTAAGATGAACAAAGGTAGACACTGACAAATAAAACAGTTCATCTTCCCTCCCTCCATCCCTCATATATCACCATCCATCCATCCCATCCATCTATCCCTCCATCCATTTTCCAACACGTATCCATGGTGGCAGCAGTTTACTGTGTAATTTATGCCGTGGTGTTTGTGTCTGTGGAGTTATTTGCCCACACAGAGTGGTGCAGGTTCTCCGGTGCAAACTCCATCCACACTGTGCTGGATGTGAGTGATGCTGTTATTCTGTAGAAAGTGGTCCAGAACAGTGTTGCTCTTTTTATGTTTGTGTCAAGAAACAAGAAAAAACATCAACGATAAAAAGAAAAAAAATCCAGTGACGTTTTTGTTTGATGCTCCACTACCTGAGTCACTAGAGAACTTTGCTGAACTTACATGCCTGAACTCCTCCTCTCCCAGAGGCTTGAAATGCCAGTCTACGGTGGCTCGTGCAGGGACCTCCTCTCGTCTCTTACAGGAGATGCAGCCCAGCAGGAATCCTTCTCCCGCCACAGCCTCAGTCAGAGAATCCACCTCAGAACAGCCGGCATGGCACTGAGACACTGCAGAGAGAGGACGAGGGGAAGAAGAAGTAGGAGAAGAAATATAAAATAGAAGCAGACAGAGAGAAAATACAAGAGCAGAAATAAATCAGAACTTTGTGAATCTGTCGGCAGTCACAATTGTCAAGCAAGCAAAACTTTACTTAAACAAGAAGTAGAGAGACAAAGAATAAAACTAAAGGCAAAAATACCCAAAATAAAAGAGCTCATGTCTTTCCAGTTACACACACATATCACATAATTTAGCACACAGGCTGCAATAAGAAGAAAAAGCGACATAAATCATGTCATAACAGACCAAAATAGTTTTAATCGCCTGCACATGAAGATTACAGTCACACACGTATGAATAAAACACCTGCATGCACTCTGTTAGGTAGACCTACTGAACTGCTCGCTAACACAAACATCTAATCGTCCAATCATGTGGCAGGAACTAAATGCATTTACCATGTATGAAGACATGTTTGAGACGACCTGCTGAAGTTCAATCTCAGCATCAGAATGAAGACCAAAAAACTGGATTAATCTCTCGTATTTACAGAGAAACAGGAAACATCCAGGAGCCGCAGGAGGAGCCATTCTCTGCTGGAATACTTAGTTGATGTCATAGACCAGAGCAACTCCAAACAACAGAAACTCAAATAACCACTTGTTGGAACCAAGGTTTGCAGAAGAGCAGCAGAAGTCCACACCGGGTGTTCATCCTGTCAGCTAAGAACAGGAAGCTGAAGCTACAGTTCACACAATCTCCCCAAAACTGCACAACAGAAGACTGGAAAAATGTTTCCTGGTCTAATAACCAACCTACAGCAAATGTGTTATGCTGTCATTTTAATTTGGCCCCAAATCTCTGAGGAATGTTTTCATTACCTTGTTGAATCAGTGCCATAAAGAGTTACTGCAGTTCTGAAGCCAAAAGTACTAACAAAATGTACCTAATGATGTGTCCAGTCAGTGTTCATTTAGGCAAAAACAAACACTGTAATCATCAGACAGACAGTCGTAAAAGCTGAAAACTCTGGAGGTTAGACATGTTTTGCATGTAACATTAACTGTATGTGAGTAAAGCCCTCACATACACGAGTCATCAGACTGATTCAGCTCCAGGAAACTTTCATGCTGCACGTTGTCACTCTAAAAAACACATCTGTCCGTGTTTCTTCTCTTCTTATCATCGAATCTGGAAATGTGTGCAAATGTCATTGAACAGATCATTGCTTGTATACAGAAAAACAAAACAGAGGCATCTTTCAGTCCTTCCGGATGCAAATGATGGATCGAACAGGAACAGCGTCTCTTTGAGGAAGCGTCCAGTCTGTTTCTGTCGTCCCGCCCAACTTCAACAACACACAGACGGAAAACACAGGTGTGCAGGTGTGACGGCTACTGGAAACAGCAATAAGTGAGTATTTTATTTCTAATTAAACTCGACATGTCAACACCAAGAAAAACACAGTGACTGCAGTTGGAGAAAAATGAGACAAAGGCTGAAAAGAAGGACAGCGGGCTACAGATAGATGCAGATATTCTTATATCATCTTTTGTAAATAAAGACACAGTAGAAATGAAATACAATGCAATGCAAAAAATAAGAAATAAAACAGGATTTGTTTATTTGTAAAATACAATAAACAAAAAAAGAAGAAACTAAAGAATAAATGTAACCAGTCACAGACAGTTATGAAGACAGTTATGCAACATTGTATCGAAAAGGCCGCCGTGACTGTCAGACCACTGAATCTGATGATATTTGTCCAACAAACTAAATTCGTTAACTTTTTTAGTTTTATTGCGTTTATAGTCATTTTCAACTTCCCAGAATAAAGAGCTTTACGGTCAAAGTAAAGGGTTTCCATGTATTAGAGCAAAACTTCAGCCACCAGCATTGATCGTTTCTCAGAGTTAAAAGTTAAAGTTGAAGAACAGGAAGGATTTTTTTGGACTTACCAAAAAGACTGAAGACAACTAACAAAGAAAAGTAGAGTCTCATCTCTGCGGGAGCCTCGGTCAAGCCTGCAGAGAAATATCGGTGTTGTCTGAGATTACATGTCTGCCTCTTGATTCCCAATGAATTTCATTTTCCACGTGAATCCAGACTTTGATTTTCCCATTGGTCCAACAGCTCAACAATCTTTAATTTCACTGAGGCAAAAAGAGAGCTTCAGAGCACAGGAAATGCTTCATTTATATCAAAAAGTTGAGTCTCTGTGTTTCAGGAGTTTTAAGTCTCCCGTGCTGTCCTGTCTGACTTTAAGGCAGCTAAATTTAGAGCGTGTGAATCCAGGAGAGTTGGGCATTACGAACGCTGAGAGCCAGCACGAAACCTGAGAAGATGAGACCTGAACCACAACCACAACGTGACCGCCACAGCAACACTACAGCCAAGTGTCCTCTGATTCAAACACTGACAAATCACAAGCCTGCAAAAGAGGAAAACTTTACATATAACTTCAGATACAGTGAAATTTGTTGTGGCCAAACAGACGTATATTCTTTCTCAGTGTGTACTACGATACACACAGTTTACTGTTCTGTGTTTCATGTTCGTTCTTTCCTGAAAGGAGCTGCAGGGCTGACATGCAAAATAACCACCATAGGATTTGTTAAACAAACAAAGTGGAAACAAAAGCAGCTCAGAGATTAAAGGGTAGCTCACAATCAGCTGCTTTCATTCATACAATAACTTCAGTAAAAAGTTCAACATTTTCCTTCATGGTTCAATATTTTTACAGACATAAACATTTACAAATGTTAAACATGACCACATAGGGAAGGCTCTTTGAGCCAAAAGGAACCACTGCACCAAAACTTTAACTGAGCATCTCCCACAATATGACCCTCGGTATTCACTCAAAGTGCAGTTTTCAAATTTTCTCCAGTAAAATATCAAAATCATCCAGGGGACCAATGCTTGTTGCTGTTCTCATGTGCCATCAACATTAAAATGATGCTATCTCTGAATCATAGACAGACTTTGCTAGTTTGATTGCAGGTTTTACCAGAACTTAGATGTGTTTTCCAGCTGTACTCACAGAAATCCATAAGGACGCCTCAGCAGAGATACAAAAACAACAACACGTTTGTGGCAACTTTAAGAAAAGAACTGCAGTTTCTATCAAAGCTTAGTCATCAGAAGTGTTGCACATTTAAAATAAACTCAGTGAGACAATGTATGTTAAAAGAAGACAAAAGTAAAAGTTTCACATTTAAGAAGTGAAATATTTAATGGGGGTCGGGGTAAACTCGACAGTATATAATGGTTTTACTGATCTGACTCGTTACAAGGTTAAAGATGTATTAAACGCATGAATAAAATACACAGGTGTACTCATAAGACAGCAGGCAAATAGGAAATAAAGAAAAAGTGAGAAAAGATCAAAAGGAAACAAAGAACAGCAAAGGGACAGAGAAAACTGGGAGTGTTGAAAAAAAGAAAGATGGAGGAACAGAAAAAGAAAAGAAATAAACAACAAAGGGGGAAGTGAAGAAGAAAGACGAGTGAGAACTAAATAAGGAAACTGGGGAAATGTTAAAAATGAAGAAAATATCAAAAGGGAGAAGAACAAAAAAGATTTTTAAAAAGAGGGGGGAGAAGGAAGCAATGAAAAAATAAAAATTAAAGCAAGACGAGCGACAAACGAGGGAAGAAGAAAGAATAACAAAATAAGGAAAGATGCACAAGAAGAAAGGAGGAATTCAGCAGAAAAGGAAGGAAGAACAACAAAGGAAGCTAGGCCAGAGGAAGGAATGAAGGAAAGGAATGAATGAAAACAAGGACAGAGAGAAGATTGGAGGAAATAGAAAAGGCTGCACCAAAGAAAGGAAAGTTTGGCGTGAAGATAACCCATGAACCGAAATAAATCTGACAGCCGCGGATTAAGTGATTTAAAAATGATTAGTTTTTATGAAACATCATGTCCCAGCTCCTTTAAAAACGTGTTTCCTCTCCTCTTTTAGACACCACATCTCTTGTTCCTGCTTTAAATCCATCTGAATATTCCACACTGACTCTGACATCTTTCACACTTCCTGCCTGTCCTGTTTAGCGCTGTAAATTGCACTCATCAGCCTCTTTAAACCTGATTTCAAACCCGGCACTTCCCTCGTGTTCAGCCACTAAATGTAATATTCGGTTTGTCTTGATTTCTGCCATTGGAGAGTCTGACAGTCGGTCAATGCCTGCCACAGAAACAAGGCCACTCAAGTCAAGGCTGCCAAAGCAGACATCGACTGAAGGCCTCAACTTGCGTGCTGACAAAGACATTCACGTGGAGGATGCAGGCGGTGAGGTGGCGTGATGAATGTAGCGGGCTGGATTGTTTTTAAAGGGGAATGGCTCGTGATGCGTGAGGTGAACCTGAACACGTCCCTCTGTGAGGTCGTACAAATATTTGGAGAAAATAATTAAAATGTGAGCAGGCGGTGGGACACACGCCGTGTTTGTGTGCGTTTGTGTATTTTAGTTGATTTGGAGGTCGAGGATGTCGTCATGTGATGTAACTAGAGCGATAAGCGTCCTTACCTCTTTGCTCTTTTTGGCCTTGTGTGTGTCTGTGATTGATAATGGCAGCAAAAATCAGGAGGGTTAAAGAAATTCCCAGAGCAGAACATACGGGAGGGGGACTTCAAGGAAATGTTGACACATGATAAACCCCGTGTGTGTGTGAGTGTGTGTGCGTGCACCTCTGTGACCCAACACATGCGTACACACAGTGAGTGACACACCTCCTATCTCACTATGCTGGTGATGATTCTTTATTTTTAGCTCAGATCGAGTTTCCAGCCCCTCCTGCTCCGCATGGTTCAGCAGCCAGAAGTGCTCAACAACACAACTCCTGTAACCTGGAGCGCAGCAGTTCCTGCATATGTGACTCGGAGCTCAGCAGCAGCAGCAGCAGCGCCCAGCGAGGCGTTGATTGCAGGAGGCGGAGGAACAAACACCCGAGATGCCTCGCAGAAGCTACGGGAGAATCTGAAATTGCCAAGTCACTGTGATGCTTTGTCATCAGTTTGAGAGGATGCAGAGGCAGCTGCTGGCTCGGGATCAAAACTGACAGGTACGTTAGAGACAATTCAAAAGTGGTTGTGTAGTTAAAGACTAAAAAACTTCTTTATATGAGTTTTTCTCCTCAAAGGACTACAAATGTCTCTGTTTCATAACGTGGTTGAGCTGCTGAAGTGCAAGAACAGCTATGTAAATATGGACTTTTAGAAAGTCCGGTATAGTGACAGATCAATAAAATCTCAAATATAGGTTGTAAATATGATAAAGTTAAACTTTGCATGCAAAACACCTAAAACTGTAAAAACCTTGAGAGACACACAAATCGTTTCCACACAAACCACAACACACAGAGATTGATCTTATTTAGATGATCACTGAGCTCCTTTATTTGATTTTGGTTTTTCCAGTTTAAATGTGCTGTTTTTGTCTTGTATTTGTGACCTTGTTAAATTAGTTTGTCTGAGCATCGTATTTTTATTTTATGGAGCTATTTGATAACTATTTAGCTGCTATTTAACACAGAAACTTCAAAACTTGGGGATCAATAAAGTATATTGCATCTTCTTGTGACCCAATGATGTCACAATAATTAAAGCTTCTCTGTACATGCCTGTACATTAACAGGTGCAGATTTCAATGGCGATTCTTGGAAACATTAAAGATGTATATAACTATGACAGGTCGATTTTTCAACAACAAATTCTTATTGCTACCAAAAAGAAATTATGATTTCATGCCACCTCTGAATCTCTTTTTGCCTGCATGAATACCTCTGCCTGATGGAGGAGGCAGAAAAAACCCCACTGCAACTATGAGGGTTTTTTTTCTTCTCATGTGTAAGATCGCAAATTGATCTTAAACATTCTGCATTAGTCTTTTCATAAAATAATTTAAAACCTTACAGAATTCACTAAAACGATGAACCGAATAAGAAGAAACATCTACAGCTATGACTTCATCGCTATCAACTGAACTTGAACTGTACTTTAATGCAATACCACTTTCACTTTATACCAGAAGATGGAGCACAAAGTTGATGTACCCCGTTATTTAACCTAACAAGTAAAAAGGAATTTATTCAAATCCACAGGAAACGAGTTCGGGCTATTTTCTTTTGAAATCCATCCATTCTCATTCCCAACACGTAACATACCAATGATTTGTTACATCCCGAGGCGTATCGTAGTAACGCGAAATGTAACCTTCCGCATCCCTATGGTACGATTGTGGATGGAATCCAACAGCGGTAACGCTCCAGCCGTCTATTCCAGCGCTAACACTAACCTTAACCATATCAGATAGTGTGTTCCAAAGCGATTCATGATCAGAATGTAAAATAAATGTACATGTCTAGATTCACTCTCATACCTCCAAAAGCGTACTATCCCGATGATTTGTCACATAGCGTTGATATGTTATGTTTTAGGATGAGAACATGTTGCTTCTGAAAACGTTTCAAAATGCTGCCCCTTCTGGTGAAAGGTTTAGTTCATATTTGCAGATCTTAATTACACCAATTCTCATTAAGACATTACATCAAAATAAAGATTATGAGCATGAAAAATATGAATGAATCCACACTTAAACTGTTACTTTGTTTAAATGTTTAAGCAATATGAGCACAGACTGATAAATCCTGTCTCAGTAGTGATAATATTACACGGAAAATGGAAAATAATTATTTCTTTCGAAAATGATACAGAATACCCGAGATTCTCACTGAATTTTGTTTTTTCTGTTACATAAATAATGTCCTGGGTGAGGTGTACATACGCCACCACTTACTTTATAATGTGGCTTCTTGACCTTTATTAAGATTAGATAAAAACTGTATTTTTTAATTCTGTAACTGTAAAGTGTAAACTGCTATGCCGTTCCTTTAAAATGGCATTTTAATATAATAAATGAATTTCAAACAAAACCTCGTCTACAGTTATGCATTTGCATTATTTGGGTTTCTTTTATTCTCCACTGCAGACCAGGTGACCTGGTATACCTATCGCCCAAAGACTGCATCCTTCCTACAAATGATGCTTCTGCAAGCGGAAGCAGGTGAGATGTCAATCACACTCTTATTTCTTAAATGACTGTTATTCACTTAATAGGGACCCACGGACACGCAGTATTTCCAGCGCGTGGGGTTACTAGTTGTTGCAGTAGGCCTCTTTAAACACAAGAGGTCGCTATGCTCCTTTGCATCAGCGGTGGTTAAGATTTGCTCCCTTCAAACAAACTCTGAAATTAAGCCAAATCTTTGGATTTCCCACCGGGTCTGATACCTGCTGCCCAGAACCTCTGCTGTTGTGACATCACCGAATTTATTTTTACTTTAATTTTTTTCTTGTCCTGGAAGTAAAAGAGCCTCCGCGTCATAGAGACCCAGCTGGAGGTGACAGAAGTGAATAATGCGAAGGTTAAAGCTGATGGAAGCTAAACTGAAAACCAGTTCTCAGCAGGTTTCGTTTGTTTGATGTAAACACTCTTCTTCTCGCCACACATCGTCAGGACAGTTATTTTCCTCGGATCGTACCACAAAGTTTGTCCGTGGGGGTTCGTTTCGTTTGGCTGTTAGATGTGTGTGTATGTGCACATACATCGAAAAATTCATTTAATCATAACATATAGACTTAAACATTTTTGTGTGTGTTTTGTGTGTTTATTTATGAAAAAGACAGCAGGAGTTGTGTTTTATTGATGAGGTTTAGCACAGCTCCCCCCGCGCACTAAGCTGGTCGCCCTGGTCTCGTCCTTTTCACTTTTCGACAAAAAACGCTTTGTCTGTTACTTCAATAGCGAGTTAGTTTGGTTCCAGTGCTGAGCTAACTTTAGTCTTTATCTTTGAATTCATTTTAAGAACAGGGTGAGGGGGGTGTTTTTTAAAAAAGTGAAATGGAGGAGGCGTAAGTGGAACTTTCTGTGCTGCGAATAAAGTCTGAGCGGCATCATTGTCGTGGCCTTCAGAGCTCGGGTCTGTGTTTAAGGTTAGCTGGCTAAAGGGGCTAACAGTTAGCTGGAGCCGGCCGGCTGATGCCTCTCTGTGCATCCGAAGCATGTTGATGTGTTCGTGTGAGAAAGTGGATTTTAACATCACGTCCCGCACCGTGGCCCGGCTGGTTTTCGAGGCCGAACAGGATAACAGAAACGGAGGAAACTCGTCCAATGGGAGGTAGGACTTCTACGGACTTTTAAGGCTCTAAAAGTTTGTTGTTCTTGGTTCTTCTTTGCGCCTCGGTGGTCTTTCTTTGCGCTGCGGCTGTTTAACGGGTGGCAGGAGGTCGGAAATCTTTCAAGTGGTTATTTTCTGCACCGCGACGAACCGAGCAGCAGACTTTTGCACAGTTTAAACCGCAGAGCTAGTGCGTCTGACTCGGCTGTAGTCGGTGTGTTTGTTGGTGCAGTCGGAGGAGCTTCGTTTCACGGCGGGGACAGATAAGGCTCGCTCGTGTGTGCACGGGGATCACGGTGGCTGGATTACTCTGGGCAAACAAGTCTGTGCCAAGATTGTTCTTGTTCAAACAGATCACATCAAATACTGTCAGACGTGCCGGGGCCCTAGCCTTGGAAGTTCACGCTTTGAAGGCAAACAATGGACACACACACACAGGTTATCGTAACACACGGAGTTATCAGAGTTATCGTAGCTTCGCGTTTGCTAATATTATTTTATTCAGTTTGCAGAGTGGATTTCCTCGTTTCACTGTTTGAAAATGTTATGATTATGTTTCATTGGTGTCAGTGTAGCTTTAGTGTTTTTGCTCTAATGCAGAGAGTATTTATGAGGATCATGATTTTAAGAAGTTCACAATAGTTATTACAAAAACATATAAACACACAGCAGTTTTGAAGGCAGGAGTGTTGACCTCCAAAATCTCTATAAACATCTGCACCAAAGCCTCACCAGGTGGGCTGTGATAACAAATTTAACCAAAGACTGAAACTAACACACATTCTGGGTTTTGCACAATGTCGTTTCAGTTTGTAAACACAAGAAACTTTAACAAAAAATGATGCACAAGCAATTACAAAGTGATTCTCTGTTGGAGGACCCGTCTGCACTCTGTTTCGGATAGTGTTGGCCTTGGCAGTGCCAGCTGGGCCTTGATACCAGCCACAGATTTTCCAAAGTTTGTGTTTGTGTCTCATACTGAAAAGAAGTGTGGGGTTGTTGCTGTTATTTCTGCCCATTTAGTAAACATAATTCTGCTTGAGGTATAAGTCAATTGAACCATATCGGAAAAAAGGTAGTTGAATGTTCCCTGGTGTATAACTTTTCTGACAAAAAAATTCAAATTTTTTTTCTCAATTTACAGCTATCTTAGAAAACTGAAAGTTTACTATGAGTTGAGGCGTCTTTGAGGTATATAGGTGGTAGCTGTTATTAGCTATTTATTTTATGTTTCCACAGGATCCATTGAACAGTTATGGCTGCAGGATATAAAACTCCAGCATCTCTTAATGTTTCAAACCTAAAGCAAATAAAACTGAGCAGGGAGGGGGCATTGCGCTTGAAATCAACCCTTTTAAATCAACAAAGGCTCTTTCGGGGTTTTTGGATCTCTTGTTAATTCACAAATAAAACAACATTTACACCGATCAGTAATGTTTATCGGCTAATTTACCCCTATTTGGCTTGTTTGATCATAAAGGTTGCGTATCTGTTCTGGAGCAGCTGCGTTTTAAAAATTGGTCTCTTGAGGCTTTAATTAGTGGCTGTTATCTGAAAGCCCCAACATTCACCCAGTTTTGGCTATTTCAGAGTTTCTTGAAGGGAGAATTTCTTTAAATGATCCAAAAATAGTCAAACATAAATTAGCTCATTACAGATGAATTCTATTGATCAGTCTTCTGATAATCATTGCTGTCTGACAGAAATGTCTGTAATCAGTTAAACCATCACTTTAACAACTTGTATGTGAGGAAGCAGATTTATGATAGCTGTGGTCAGGTCCAGGCAGGCCAGCGTTTTGAACGCCAGGTTTCTGCTCTTGTTGCTCCTCAGGTGGCTCCTTCCAGACAGTGCTATGTTTTTCTCTGAGGCTCCTTATCTCAGGAAAGTCTGCCTAAACTCAAAAGAGTGAGACTTCTAAGCTGAACACAGAAGTGGGAGGATCGCAGAGCGTTTTAGCCTCTCGTTGCCAGCATATATGTACAGACTGGACAGCGGGAAGTGGATTGGTTGAAGAACTGAAACTGAGACTGCCAACAAGTTTTCTGCTGCGTATTTTTTCTCTGCAAGAAACCCTCAAACCTGTTCACTTGAGAGCTGTTTTGCCTTTTTTACCACTTCAGGAGAAGTTGACCAGCACCTTCAGAAGAAAATCTGTTAAATTCACAGGAAACATGGTGCGTAATCAATAAGTTGCTGTCTGTGGCCGACACGTGGTCGGTTTTAAATGCTCGTCCTTCTTGATGGCCTTGACTGAAAAGCTCAAAAGATGACGATGTCCCCTCCTGCAAGACCAGAGGGCATGACTCTGGCTCAGCCCATCCCCGTCCCAATGCTGACCGTCCTCCCGCCGTCCTCGGACACAGAGTCCTGGTCTTGTTCGCCTAGTCCCAGACCCCTGCGCTCCGACCGACCCCGTGGCTCCCACCGTAGTAGGACAAGAACCAAAAGGCGGAAACAGGAAGAGCAAGGCTGTGCTTATAAGCCGCAATGGGGCAAAACTCCACAAATCGTGATACAGTCGTCCACAGAGAGGGGAGCTGTTCAACATCGGAGTCCCTCGCCCTCTTTGGTTACTGAGATGGGGACAGCGAAGCAAGGTCAGGACAGTCCGTCACATGACCTCCTCATACCGCCGTCTCGCTCCTGGTCTCGTAGTCCGTCACCCAGCCGCCGCTCTCGTTGGTCCCTCAGGAGCCTGCTCGGCAGGGACTCTGACGGAGACCGCTGCAGGTTAGTGTGCTGGATTCAGTCAGTGATTTATTTGTTTTTATCTACAGTTTATCTGCTCCTCATGGCACAGGCCAAGCTCAAGCTTTTCTTTTTACCTTCAGTGATTCAAGTGAAGGTTCTTTCTTATCTCGCAGCACATAAAGTTCAGGAGGTCAGAACAGAGCGTCCGCACCGTGTTCAGCAGCCTCCTGGGTATTCTGTGCTTACCGCTGTGTAAAAACATCAGCCGATTTGCATTCAGGCCCGCTGAGACGGCGGTGACTCACACGAGCTGTGCAGCCTCTCATCTGTGCACATTTGGTGAGAGATAAAAAGCACATGACGCTCTCAGTCATATTTTTCTCTCTGAAACTACACGAGAGCAGCTATTTTGGATTAGGGTGAAGGTAATTACCTAAAGCTAGTGAGGACAGGATGAAAAGTTTTTCTTTCTTTTTTTATTTGTATGACATATAGCCAAAGTTTGTACAGTTAAGGAGGAGGAAAAAGAGAAGAACTGAGCTGTATATCCAGGGTTTTTCCTTTATATGTAAAAATAGGTGTGGGCCTTCTCGTAAAGCTTATTTGGGTGGCTGTAGCTCAGGTGGCAGAGCAGGTCAGCCACTAATCAGAAGGTCGGTGGTTCGATCCCAGGCTGCATCCTGGCTGCATGCCAAATATCCTTGGGCAAGATACTAACCCCGTGTTTGCCTACTGGTGGTGGTCAGAGGGCCCGGTGGCGCCTGTGTCCGGCAGCCACGCCTCTGTCAGTGCGCCCCAGGGCAGCTGTGGCTACAATGTAGCTTGCTATCGCCAGTGTGTGAATGTGTGTGTGAATGGGTGGATGACTGAATGTAGTGTAAAGCGCTTTGGGGTCCTATGGACTAGAAAAGCGCTATATAAATGCAGGCCATTTAGTATATGTGATATAATGTGCCACAAACAGGACTTTAATATCACCAACCATTCCCATGTTATTACCGTGTATCCATATAAATGGCCCACCCTGTACTTATCTAAGCAGCACTTTTTCCTCTGAAGAGATTATGTTCACAAGTAAACCTGAGGATGCGTTATCTTGTGATGGTGGCATTACATTTCGTGTCAGTGAAACTGTTTCGTCAGGGTTTGGAGTCAGTCTCTGCGTGCAGCTGTGCAGCTCATTTCAACATCTGTGCATTAACTCTTTATAACTATTTTTTTGAACAGTAATAAAATATATATATATTGCACATCAGGTCATCTTACATATTAAGCCAGCATATTCTGCTTTAGCTCTTTTGCACACATCTGTTTCAATCTCCATATTTTTGCCTCTTTTTCTGTCATCATTTATTTATTTGTACTATTTGTATTTATATGTTTTATTCTATATATTAATCGGCATCTGTGGGTGGACAGCACAAGAATTTCATTGCACAGAGAAATGCCTTTTTCTCTTGTGACGCATGACAATAAACACTTTGAATCTTGAATCTCTAACCTGTCAGAAACCAGCTGCAGCACATTCGACTGAAGCAAGTCGGGTCCGGTGTGCTTCTGCAAAGCTTGATATTACTTAGGCAAGCTCCTTTTTCATGATTCTGTATTTAAATGTTCAATCATAGCTTTAAATATATTTTGATTAAAGAGTTGTCATCTCACCTTTCTACAATTTATTTAAAAAAAAAAAAAGCTCAAGGAAAGTTTGTGTTTAAGCTGAAAGTAAATGAAGTTTCCTTTTTTATTCTTTAAGAAAATAACAATTTTGTGTCTCCAGGCAAATAAACATTTCATAACTGCAGGGTTGTTTTTTTTATTGTTTTTACCTTTACTGCATTACAAAGGATTCTGTGTGTAACAGCGTCTGAACCTCACCTAAAGAAAGCTGTGTCCTGGGTGTGATTGTGCTTTATGTTTTAACATGTTTAGTAGTTTGATTCCATGCAGAAGCTCATTAGTCCACCACTGCTCTCTGCATGTGGCTGCTGTGCTGTGCCTCTGTTCCCGCGGAGTTTCCCACTGGTTGTTTTTCCTCTTCTCTGCGTAAAAACCATAATCAGTGCTGTGGCAATGGCTTTAAGAAAATGCTATAAATGATTGTTCAGAGTTTGAACAGAATTATGCGGGCGAGGGTTAAAGTTCACAGCCTCTTCTTCCTGGAATCTCCCAGAGGAGCAGAAAGGGTCAGATCTGGTTACTCCAGGTTCAAGTAAAATTTAAACCGTTTATAAAGGGATGAGCTTGTTTGGGCAGTGTGATTGATTAAGGATGTATTTGTAATTTAGTTACAGGACAACTTTAAAATGATGAATTATGAGAGGAAATGTACTTTTCACCTTTATAGACCAACAACAATATAGCCTTATGATGCCAAAATAACTGGAGATATGATTCCTGTACCTCGTGACAGAATCTACATAATTCTCTATTTATTTTCCTCCCAATTTCTAATTATATGTATTTATTTATAGCTGAAAAGCTTTTATGCGACACATGTCTAAGAAATCCTCCCGTTTTGACTAAAAACTCATTACAACACAACTTCTTTTATTAACATGGGAGTGTTTTTATCTTAGCTTTTCTTTCTCCCACATACCATACCAGTCATTTGTTTTTGCAGATTACCTGTTAAAATCCTGATTGAGTCCAAGTATGCTATGATGTCAAATTTAAAAAACCAAAAACCTAGAAGCAGTCAGATGGCAGGATCGCAGTGATAAAGCAAAGACTGTACCCTGTATTTAAACATCAACATCACTGCTCCAGATGACCTGAGAGGATGGTGTGACTTTGAGGACAGAACCCGGGTTATGTAAACTGTAAACAAAGAAAATGAGACCACCTCTGAAGGAAAAGTGGAGCTGAGTCAGGCACAAGGACCAGAGGCGGGTTCCTGCACTCTTTATCTGTTCCTCGGAATGATGACATCACCTCCAGCCAATGGGAGCGAGTTCCTGGTCTGATGATGTCATGTGAGCCCAATCAGATGAGGGATGTGTGGATCACTGCAGTGGGCTTCTGAGGGCATGCACATGAACAGCTGTGCCCTTGTCCTCTTCATCAGCGCCTCCTTTTATTGACCTACTTATATTGTTCTGCAGCATATTAATGATTTTTAATGTTCACAGCTGACCCGGCCAGCGAGGATTAGGGAGGGTTTTTTAATGGTGAAAGCAAATGTTTGTGGAGCTTAAATGGAAAAGAAAACATTTGGTTTAAATAATGTTTGGTGAAACTGGGGCTGCACAGGTTTCAGAGTTGTCACAACATTTGCATGTTTCCCACAGATTTGTAGTTTATTCAGGTTGGGATGTGTCTGCAGTGAGTTGTCAAATAGGGCTGCCACGATTAGTCGACTAGTCACGATTACGTCGACTATCAAAATCGTCGACGACTGATTTAATAGTCGACGCGTCGTTTGAAGCTTTGTAAGATCACAAAAGACGCAGGAATAAGTAGCAGGATTTAAGAGTGTAATAACGGACTGAAACAGAAGATGGCAGCACTGCATGTACAAGGATGCCAGCTGCCGTTAAACCGCGAAGAAGAGAAGTAGCTCCGTCCCAGAATTCATAGCGCAGCCCAGCTCTGTTGTCAACAATGGCGGCAGCTAGTTAGTTTTTATATTACTCTTATTATTCTTTCCGGGTCACAAAATAAACGTTTAACATATTTTCAGGCGAGAATGTAGCTGTGTAAACCTCAAATATCTGCTCAGTTTATCAAGACACCGCATATTTTCAAAAGCGCTCCGACGTTTTCGGAGACGTCTGTTACCCACTAGCTCGATAGCTAGCCGGGGGCTAGGTCACTAGAGCCGTGAGAACACCGGACTCCCGGCAGATCGTTTTCAAACCCACTGCCGTCACTTAGCTTAAAATGTTATTGTTTGGCTTTTTTCAGTATTTTATTTGTTCCTGAGTAAATCGGTTTGTCTGAGATTAAAGTTATAGTTTTTACACAGCTGAATAAACGTCAAGCAGACAGCTGATTATCAGAAGTGTGAGATGCTCGAGAGTTTACTCCGGTGTCCTGTTATATTTTAGATAGCAAGGAGTTTATTAAACTTCACCGAAACAATCTGCAAACTTCATTAAACTTTAATAAACTATCATCTTGTCTTTATTTTTAATTAGCACAGACCTGAAACACTTAAAGCTGTAAGCTAATGATAGTTATATAAGAGCAGATGCTGCTGGTGCAATAAGCTGTACGCTGTATGTCCAATGGATGATGATGTGATTAGTCGACTAATCGCAAAAATAATCGGTGACTAGTCGACTATCAAAATAATCGTTTGTGGCAGCCCTATTGTCAAATATCACGTTGAATTATCAAATCAGATTGATAATGGAGCACCATGATGTGAACTGACACTGAGGAAAAACAGCAGCATGACTGAGAACAGTTTTCTTGGACTAAACTGTGACTCAGCTGTTCAAGATGTACGATTTAATAATAGAATAGAATCATAAATGTAAATTAAATAAATTTAAAATATGAAATATCTGAAATAATATAATGTCTAATAATAATAACACAAAAGATGCTCTATATTATGAAGTGGACCCTTCAGTAATACAACAGAAAAAAACCCAACAATCATATGACCCGCTGTGACCAAGCACTTTGGCAACAGTGGGAAGGAAAAACTCCCTTTTAACAGGAAGAACCCTCCGGCAGAACCAGGCTCAGGGAGGGGCGGGTCTGATGGACCACCACTTTAAAGCTGTTCTTGTCTTCTGGTGTTGTTTTGCAGAGGACACAGTCTGAGGTTTGTTGTGTCAATGTTTTATGTGTAGAGTAATCAGTACAAGAGTGCACTTCATCAGTTTCATTTCATGGTGTAGGTTAAAGTTCAGCAGCTCTGTTTCCTCTTCGTACAAGTGCGTACATGCTCGTTCTAAGAGAGGAGTCATATACTAACATGATGTTCAGCCCTATAATGTGAGCATAATCACTCGCTGTATGGTATTAACTGATAATAACACGTGACTCATGTTAGTCACCGCATGAGTGCAGCTCTTCTGGATCACACTGCGTATATTCATTTGTTGCTGGTTTTAGGAATTGTTTTAGAGTTACTCACTTTTACTGGGCAGGACCTCATGTCAACTTTAACCAGCATTAGTAGTAATCAGTGAGGCTGCTGACTGACATTTGGAATAAAACAATACATGTGTGGTGTCTTTGAGCAAGAGGAAACTTTGCTTCTGTAATTGACATCGTATTTATTTAAACAGGAAAGGGGAGCAGAACTCATTCATAAGCAATGCTGCTTCAGTGCTGATGATTTATATATCGGACTGTGTCGTCATATGAAGTAATAACTGTCATTGTTCTAATATTTTTCCATGCAAATGTATTAGAAATGTTTTCTTTAATGTTTTTTAATGACATGTCAGAATCTTTTATTTGCTCTATGCTAATTTCCCACCATGAGGCATAGTGGGCTTCATCTTTTAGACCCAGAAGCCATGTCTGTGTTTTATTCGGTCTGTGTTGTTAACTACTAGCATGCCTGCCGTTTTGCCATTAGCGTAGCTTTAGCCACTATCAAGCTTCCTCCCCATTTGCGTTGATGGGTTGGGCTTCTTGTTTCCTTAGAAACAGACATTTAAAGACCTGCATGTTGAATCCATAAT